CGGACAGAAATACTGCTGCGTATGCAATATCAGCGCCTTCGGCGTTTCGCGCACTGCTGGTTTCTGTCCTATGACTGCGCGCCCGAGGGATTTCGCGCTCAGCGGCACGGAACAGGCTGGGTCGTGGGATATTATATATTCAGCGTATGGCGCTGTTGTTTTGGGTACCGCCTATAGGTCGTACTGATTTCGAATGGCAGACTTTCAGGATACGCTCGCCCTGTTTTCGGGGCAGCCTGTGTATGAATATGTCAGGAATGCTGTTACGGTCCAGCATTCGAGCAGGGTGGGCAAAGTTGTGGCAAATCATGTCTTTCATGCGCTAGAAAGATTACGAAGCGTGCGCATGATTCTTCATTATTGGTCATTTGCTGCTACCTTCTTTTTGCTGATTGCAGTGGGAACACAGTGTGCACATCACGTCAAAAGTCTCCAGGCGCAGATCGAGCGATGGGCAAAGCTCAATTTAATGTCAAAGCGATGTCTCATCTCCGAGTCTCGTAAGCGTGAACAGGCCTGCTCTGTGTACGATGAATTCTATTGCATGCTTATCAATCTACACAATCAGCTCTCATTCCTGGGTCAACAGTCGCCATTTATTTTGGAATCTACGTATCTGGCCTTTGACTCGGAGCTTTTGGACTTGATAGCTGCAGCAGCAGGTCATAAGCAGACCTTTCACCAGATATGTGGTAAATTAATATTTGGGAATGGCATCCTATCGAAGGCTGCTGAAGCAGCAAATATCTCCAACAAAGCCAGCCCAGAATTAGATTTTGCTACAAGTGTTTTTGATTGGCTCGAGGCCGTCAGGCCCATCAACCTTGAATCAGAGGCTCTGGAGAGGCTTTCCATTGCAGTGGGAAGTCTTCTTCCCCGTGTTATGCAGGCAAAGGCAGCACGCAATGCGGCAATGGCAGCCTCTTGCGTTGTCTGCCTCGATGGGATAAGGGATGTGGTTTTCCTCGACTGCATGCATCTCGTCGTCTGCCGTGACTGCAGTAGTACAATCGATGAATGTCCCATCTGCCGTCTCGCCATACAGAAAAAATATGTTGTTTTTAGTCCTTGAGCGGTCCCATTCCATTAGCTAGGGTGCACCACCCTGGCACGACCCACAGTACCAGGGAGGCTCCAGGGCTGCAGCCCCGAGGTTCTCGAGCCCACCCCGCAGTCCAGGCCGCGCATCGGCGGGCATCCGCCTGCGCGGCCCGCTGCCTCTTGGCCTCTTGTGGTGGTTTATATGATATGGTATCGGAAGGACCATCCGGGTACGAGGACGTCGTTTGCTAAGGAGCGGCGCTGGATGTGCAACTTTGCCCTGGTCACGGTGGGAAGGTCGAACGCGGGAAACTCGACGCGTTCTAGTTTGGGGACGGGGGACGAGACGGACCCCCTAGGGCTCCCTAGCGCGACGCGGTGAACACCGTTTCCCGGGCAACCTGAGAACGGTCGTCCTAGCACCCTAAAGGACTCCTCGACGTAGTTTAATCGGGGCGGCGGCCGCGCGATCGCACCAGTGGCGACCGCGGCGTCCCGAGGCCACGCGAGCCGCGTCAGCTTACGGGGCCCTGTCGGCCGCAGATCCAGCCCAGAGCCCGCGTTTGCGCGTCCGATCCAGTCCATGGGTGGTACGGGCCCGCGTGATGGGCTCAGCCGCAGCATGTCCAGCGTGTTCGTCGACCCGCCGCCGCTCAAAGACGTCCTCGGTAGTTCCGGAGCGTTTCCTCGGCGCCACGAGTGAATCCGGTCGCCGCGCAGAGCATGTCGCTGTCGTACGCGTCACGACATACTAGACGAGTGCCGGGCTCGACCAGCTGCGTGCGACGCTGCGTTGGCGTCGCCCGAGCGGCGCGCGAAGGACTGCCGCCACTGGGAGACGGCCTTCGAACGCCCCGGCGCGCGTCGAAACGTGCGAGTTCCGCAACCAAAGCACCTCAGAGGTCGCCCAGGGGTACGAGGCCTTCGTCGCCACCGCCCAGGCCCGGAGGGACGCGCACAGAGCGCCGACGGACGCGCCCACAGCTCTCAAGGCGGCCGGAGGAGCTCGACGCCGCCCGCGATCTTTTTGTCCGAGGATTTCGACCAATGAGAACCCAGCGTTTGCTCGATTCGACGCCTCCCAGGCGCGTCCAAACGCGGTCCCAGCCCCAGATTTTAGGACAGGATCCCCGTCAGCTACCACCTCCGAGTAGGAACCCAAAGTTGCCCGGATATCGGCGTCGCGGAATGACATGCGGGCAAATGAAGTGATAGTCGCCGACCTACACGGGCCACATGGGCTGCATGTACGTGGATCACTCGCACACCGAGACTCACGAACGCTGCAGTCTTTCATCGCGAAATCTCGCTTTGCCCTTCAAAGTCGGCGTACACATTGTATCTGGTTGCCCTCGTCTACTTAAATCGCGTTACACTTATGGAACCCTGCTCGCAATACTTCGCGCGCTGCATCTCAGCTCTTTCGGGCGTCGAACTGGCGCCTGTTTTCAGTGATCCAGAGCCGCCAGCAGTTAACTGAAGATGAAGGTAGAATCTCTCTATCTCTCTACCTGCAGCGCACCCAGGAAAATCTTCTCCCATCCAGCCGGCCCTATTCTTTTCCTTTGGGGTCCTAGACTAGGAGCCAGTCCCGAGCTGGGTGGAACCCATGTTGAAGGCACACCCGGCTCCTAATCCAACTATTATATCATCCTATATCATTCTACATCTCAGGCTTGCATCAATGTTCCTTAATATTGTTCTTTAGCTATAATGGATTTCTTTGAGTCGCCGCGCACCGCAGATGGTCATCTCGCAACTATCAACAATTGTTCCTCATCACGTCTTATCGCCCTACATCGGTGTTGTAGCCTAGCACGCGCAAGAAGGACGTCCTCTAGCGCGAGCGTGTCGCGCCGCATTTTTGTTGACGTTGAATTGCGGCGTCTTCCACGTGGCGAAGAGCCAAGGCACTTCTACATGAGCCTATGGAGCCAAGTGGGCGAAGATTTTGTCCCACTCACAGAGGAACGCCTGGTGGCTGCTCCTCGCGACGACTCTGTCTTCCTCCACCATGGCTGGTCAAATTCACAGAGGCAGCGTAAATCTAGCCTCTCACGATCGCCGAGTCCGCGGCCAGCAGCGTTCGTCATGTCCAGCGTCTCATATGATCGATCCCGTCTCTCTGGAACAATCTCCTCTAGGCTGCTCTCTCGTCGGAAGCGTCGACATTGCGCATGCCGCTCAAGAGCCAGCCACTACCGAAGAAAGTAGTGCGCAAGCGTGTGGTGTTTCGAGATATTCTACTTTCCGAGCTACGTGACAAAGGCATCTGGCTTGTTTGCCGCGCATATCGCGTCGGTCGTTTGCGAACTGATGGCGACAAGAGTCCCGCATGTGATGATGAGAGCCGTGGCAACAGTGGCTTGCTCAAGGAGACGCGCAAGCTCGGCGTAGATGCACGGTTTACAGCTGTCAAAACTGATGCTGCCATGGAGCAGTCCGGACAAATAATCCGTGTCTCTCAAATCCCAACGCTTTCATACATCCACTCTATGGCGCTCTTAGGTTCGATTTGTTGGTGGACGACGTCGCAGCTTTCCGGCGACCTCTAGGCGTCGCAGCTATAAATTTGAGCGCAGCGCTTGATCGCAACGATCTATGGGTCTTCGAATCGAGTGACTCAGAAAAAGCGAACTGTTTGTGGGATACGCCTGGAGCGCCATTTTGGCGGCCAGTAACGAGCGATAACCAGCGCGCCGCCGACATATTTGCGCGTCTGCCCCGGATTATCGCAGGTTGTGGCTTGGATGGCGGTTGCAAGGTTGCATCTTTCAAACAAGAGAAGAGCGACGTCAGGGCGTCAGCTGACGAAAGCACTGTGCAACCTTTATGCGCATCCAATGCGTGTGACAAGGGCAGACAAAAGCTTGCGGCGTCTATCCAGTGCGTCCCTCCAGCACGTCTAGGGCATGCTGCCGCCCTTGAGTTGTCCATTCGGGCACATTTTGCAGGAGGTACCAGCGTCACTCCAGTAGACCGCATACGCCCCCCAGAGGGTGGCATTTGTGCTGATGCCGCAACATTTGCCGAGCCGATCATGGACGATAGGCGACGGAATAGTCTCTTTGTCACACTGGTATCAGGTTCATTTTCTCAGGATTCCAAGCTCGCAGCACGGTCCGTTGAAGTTCGCGCGCACCTCATATCTGATGCTGGCAAAACTCTTCCCAACATAGCGCGCGGCTGTCTACGCCATGTGGGCCACTGCCAGTTCCGCAGCTCAACACACTATCACGTGAATCGTCCCATGTGGGAGGAGTGCTTCCGAGTGACACTTCCTATGGATGATCTACGGAAGTACCACTTGCTCTTTTCATTTGCTCACTGCGGTTGTAAACTTCCACGGGACATATTTGCATTCGCTTTTCTGCCCTTGGCTTGCGAAGAGGCACGGGGCGCTGTGCTTACCTCGACAGCGAAATGGGTAGATGGCGAAGGTCGAGAAGAAAATGAGGCTTCTCCTATTGTAGATGGCGCACATAAACTCGCCTGTTTTGAGCCATTCGAACATGACAGCCCAACCTTGACTGCAATGACCGAGCCGTTGCCATCTTCAGTGTCTATGGGCCGTGGAGTCAAAGCCATGGACAAAAGAATGCCGAGCTACCTCCAGCGAGGTGCCGCGAGGCAGCGTGGACGTCGCATGTCTGCTGGTGGCGCGGCGGTTGCCCTTGGAGGTGCGCTGCGAGCCCCAAGGCGCGGTGACGTTCTCTTCTCGACGGCTTCGACGCGGTCTGGCGCAGTTGCACAGGCAGCTGCAGCAGCAGGCGGGGAACGTGAATGGCTGGCAATCGAGACGACACTAGTGTCAGAGTGCAGCGCTAGCGCCTACACACCGGAGTTACAGAAACTCCTCCGATGGAAGCAGCTTAGCCCTGGCCAGGAGACAGTCCGGGCGATTCATGCAGCTGCGAGCGCAGACGCTCTTGTCGATGATTCTCGACTCTGGCCGTCGCGGTTTACTTATGGTCTCCATGCGCTCCTAGATATTTTTCTGACAGAGCGCGCGCCAGGAGAACCTGCTGCTGCATTTAGAACGCTTGCAACAACCCTCGCAAACTTCGCAATACGACCAGGTCGTGCACATATTCACAGAGTTTCCCTCAGACGTGCTCTCGCCGCTGATATCAGTAGTTTTCTCCCAGGACTACGGCCACCAACACTGGAGTCAGAGGTGCCCACGTCACCTCTGCATGAAAGTCCACCACCACCGATGCATACCTCGCGCGTATCACACCACGGAACCCCCTCCGATGATAACAAGCAGCGCACCCCTAGTCCCATGATGGAAATTTGGATCCCATCCTCGTCACGCACCGCCGAGCAGACGGCTATTGATGCCATCCCACGTGAAGTCGAACTTTTGACACGCCCTGGTGTGTCCAGGGAGCTATCCTTGAAAGGCAGTTCTTCTTACACGGAAGAGGGAGTTGCCGAACACGAGTGGAATCGGTTTCTTGAGATCTCGGCCGCTCGTGAGCTATCTTCACAACCATCGTTAGCACCATCGAATACCCCAGCTCAACCAGAATTGCATGTTTCACTCATGACTGCGGTTGCCGCTCCACTTCAGTGGTTGGATGTCCTTGGTGCCGATTGGGACGATGATGGAACTGGTGAGGAGCAGAGGCGGTCTGCACTGACTGAGACAGTCGCATCCCTAGATGCTTTGTTCGCAATATGCTGTGCTAGCTACGTGCGCTCCGGTGGAGCATCACGTGAGAAACCAGACCACACAGCCCCGTTGATGCTCGACCTCGTCGACGAGGTGTTCAGACTCGTGTGCCGCATGTTCTTGAAGACAGATCGCTTAGCATGGATATCCCACGCGCAACAACTCAGCGTACGCGCGCTTGCCGGCACATTAGAGGCACTGCAAGGCTGTTTCCCCCTTGCAACAACTGCAGAGCGTGCCATTCTCCTTATTGATGCGATCCCAAGCCAATTCAACGAATTCAGTATTGATGCGGCTATTGGCGAGCTCGTTTTTCTTCGAGATATTTCACGGATGCCACTAGTGTGCCACCTGCGCCAGGGTCGTCAGGCATTGGCTTTGAAAATTGGAATGGCCGTCATTGATATACTAAAACGCGCAAATGCAGCTCGGATTGGATGCGTTACTTCAGATAATCTGGTGCTTTGCTGGGGACTTGGAGCACAGGCAATCAGTGAACTTATCTCTACAGCCAACGGGGAGATCAATGATGCATCTATGCTGGCCACTGTATTTTTACCTGGATGGTTAACGGAGGTGGCATCCACGGCATTCATGGAGTGGTACACAGACCAGGTCGACGCTGGACCTCGATATGAAACTTCCTCGTACCGCTCCTCGTCTAGCTTCCACGTGGACGCTGAGGTGATCGGTGCAGAGGAGCAACCCCCCTTTGGAGGCCTGCAGCGCGACTCCTTCCAAGATTGCACTATGGCAACTCTTGCAATGTTGCGAGTTGGAGGCATCGCCGACAATCCACGCGTGATAAACGCAGAGCTTCGGGCGTGCCGGGCTCTTATGGCGCAACCATTTTCGTTGGCTTGGCCCGTACTTAACGCGTGCACGTCGCTAGCGTGCTCCCAAGTTCTGGACAAGGCTGCCACTGTTGTCTCCAGCAGCGGACCGCAGGGTGGTGCTGACTCTGCTGACCCGATGACCGCTGACTCTGGTCAGTTTTTTAGCCTTGGACTCGCACTTCTTCACTCCCCTGGAACAGATGTAACATGCATGACAGACATTAAACTTGGCTACGTCCTCACCGCATCGGGGCTCAGGTTTGCTCATATGCGTATTTCCGCTATTGCCACACTTGATGCTGCGTGGAAGCGACTCGGAGCAGGCCACGTCGCAGATAAAGACTATATCTGCGTTGTGGCACACCATCATGCCAATCTTGGCGTGACTGTCGTGCAACACGCTGTTCATCTGTTAAGTTCAACGTCTGGTGCAATTCAGGCCCTTGCCATCAGGCTCTTGGCTGATGTGGCTGTTGCTGAGCTACAGTCCCGCCTCGGTGACCTGCAACGCTTTGATGGGCATCTTTCTGTCGGAAACAAGACAACCGCAAGTACACTGGCGTATGTACTATCCGCGACTGTCGCTGAGCACATTGATAGTGAAATCCCCCATCACTTCTGGCACCCGATACCTCGGCACGACATACCGGGTGAGGCTGCTGGCGCTCTGTGCCTTCTCCGTGACTCATTTCGGCGCTTGATCTCACCATCGCCTGGTGTGACAGCTGTCCTCTCACTTCTGGATGGCGTGCCAGCTTGTCGACGGATGGAGGGTGTTATGCAGGCAGCTGCTGAATTTGGTGAGACCGAAGAGCGGATGGTGGTCGATTTAAACATTCTAGCTGAGGTCTTTGCCGCGCCTCTGCGGCTTTGGGGATCGCAAATTGATGCCGGTGTGGCTGTCGTTGACGGCGTCGACGGCGCGGAGGTTAGCAGCGCGGCGCAGCGGCTCTTTGGCCCGCTGGACGATATCGTGGCCTTTGCCAGCCGCTTCGCCGCCGCGCTGCGCGCTGCGGAGCAGAGCGGCGACTGGCGGGGCTGCTTCGAGGCGCATGAGCTGGAGCTGGTCAGGTGCTACGGGTGTTACGTGGCGAGTTACACGGTGGCCTGGGATGATCTCGCGGCGCTGCGGGCAAAGTCGAAGACTGTTGAGGCATTCCTAAAGTGCTGCGAGCTCCAGCCGGCGAACACACGACGGCTCACCCTTGCATCGTTAGCCATCCTGCCAGTGCAGCGCGCACCGCGCTACGTGTTGCTCCTAAGCGAGCTGAGGAGGCGTCTTGGCGAGCAATCCGGCGTGTGTTGCCGCGGTTGGTCAGGGAACGACGCCAGCGCGCTCGCCGCCGCGGAAGCATGTGCGCGTCGGGTGGCCACGGCAGTCAATGACCATGCTTTGCCTTGAGTCGATGCCACCTAAGGGGCGACGTTTCTCACAAATCAGGGGACACAAGCCTTCCTTTGGGTGACTCCTAGATCAGCCCAGCCACCACAGCTCAAATAGCAAGGGCAGTCCCCGGACGCCGGTTCCTGGCGGACTGAGCGTCACGATTAAGCTGGGAGGGTCCTGGGGGGGGGCGCCGCGTCCAAATCGCGCGAACTTCTTGAACGCGCGTGTTCGCACGTCGTGGCGGGCGTCTGGGAGCCGTCGATTTCGCGGGCCGCGAACGCCTCCCGGGTCGATACCGGGTCGAAACGTTGGTTCCTGGCCGTTCCAGATGCCTGGGACGCGTTCCGGGCGTCCTAGTCGACGGAAAGGAGGTGAGGGCGGTTTCTAATCTAAATCGACGCCGTTTGCATCTCGGACCCCCGGCGGAAACAAAAAAATAAGACAAAAAAACAGCTCCGCGTAAAAAACGCGTGAAATACGAGTAAAGACGCGTAACAAACGCTGTGGCGACGGCTCACGTAAAAAACGCCGTCACGTAATTTGGGACCTAGGAGCCTGAACGGTTCAAGGCTTTCCCGCGGGCTGGCAGGCCGCCCCCCATACTGGGACTCAGTAGTCTCAGTACCAGCCGCCGCGACCGGCCGCGCGGCGGCCCGGAAGAGCCCCCCCCCCGACCCCGCTTCGCACCTCGCCGCCATCCCACGGACCCTACGGGCTCCCTGCTCGGGCTCCCTGGGCAGAGATGGCGCCAGGCCCGGGGCTCCTAAGGGCGACTAAGGAGGGGGGCAAGTCGCAAACTCAGCTCTAAAACTCAGCTTCGTTGGGTTTCCCGTGTCCAACTCGTCCTGGCGACTCAGTCAATAACCAGACGGGTCGGCAGGCGGGGGGGGTCGCGCCAGGGTCGCGCGTGATTGACCGCGGGTTCCTGGGCCACGTTTTTTGTGGCGTTAATCATGGGTAATTGGTGTGTGATTTCGGACCCAGGGCTCGCGGCAAATTTACTCCATGCCGCATATTGCGGATAGGCTGGCTGATACTGAGGGTTCCGTCCGCGACCAATCGGAATATGTCCAGATTACCTGGAACACTCAGGCCAAGACACTGCTACGAAAAGGAGAGGAGTGGCTTGTCAAAGAGTAGCGTCTGGACTGTCATACCGACGAAGGCCATCATAGCGAGACGGCCGTTTGTGAGCTCCTTGAGAGCAAGGTCATCAAGTTCTGCTTGTGACTTGCCCTCCTGGAAGCAGAGTGGGTCAAATCCGAGGTCCCACGGTGTGTCGCCGTAAGTCTTGTCTGCAGTGGCAAGCTCGACGCAGCCTGCAAGTAGCAAGATCTGGAAATTAGCTGCCCATGGCACAGTCCACGGCGCCTTGAGCCTATGGATGACAATGAGAGTGATCAAGCGCCAGGTATAAGAAGGATGATTGCAAGACTCAGGGCATGTGTGCGGTTGCGAATTTTGGTAGGCCTCTCCAGGAAGGTGAACATATTCTTGTACGAGGAATCCGACAGTTGCCTGATGCGAACATTGGTGACATTACCTGAATTACCCTGAGCTGGATTCGAAGACACGGCTTGCCAGCGAGCATTGCAATGCGCCCGTGCTTTATTTCAGCACCACGCGCGTAACTTAGGTCCACCTGCACCTCAGCAAGTCGGAGCGGATCAAACCCAACGTCGCCGATCATCGTGCCTACCAGAATAAGTGTCCTAGTCGACATAAACGACACCGACAGACCGTCGAGTTTCTCCGGGCGGTTCAGAAAAGGAAATGCTTCAGAATTCTCAGCGAACAGTGAAAAGGCACGCTTCATCGGTTTCGTAGGCGCGAATCCAGTTGCGGCCTTTAGGGCCAAGAGCGAGACTAGCGCCGGTCGTGCCATGTTGAGCTCAAAGATCGTCAACGAGCCTTGGGCTCGGACACTAGATTTTGTTTCAGAGCTCAGCCTGCCGTCCGAAACACATTGGCGCCCACCATAATGCAGAGGGCCGATTTGGACCGACTCGGATTGCAGCCTCCAGCGACCCGGTAAGTTAGACGCGCGAGCCCAGGCGAGTAACTAAAGTCCATGAGTCAACTGATAGACCACTGATCGATTGGACTCTCTGGTTGCTGGCCGTCAACTTGTTCGGCGTCGTGCGCGTGCGTCGAACCTGATCCATGGGCGTGAAGACGGCCTCCTCGGTGAAGAAGGACAGGGTCGCGCGCGCCTTGGCGCCCTTGAGGTCGTCCTGGCCGCGCCACGGGGCCTCGAGGGCCTGCTTGACATGCGGCGGCACATGCTCCACGTCGCCGTCGGCGTCCAACCAGTCGACGAGGTTCGTCGCCATGCTCGACGTGGGGCGCGCGGCTCCCGCCGCAGAGGCCCAACAACGAGTGTCGAGCGTGCGGGGGAGGCTGGCAACGGGCCCGGGTTCACGCACGGGCAGGTGGCGACGCGCCCCGTCGCCAGCGAGCGACAGCAGTCGCTGGCGACGGCGTGCGCACTTGGGGCGCTGTATGCCGCGGTACTCGGGAACTGATATCTCTCTCTGGTAATTACTAGTAATTACCGGCGAATTACCACCCCAAGTATTTTTTTGGTAATTTTAAGCGACGGTCATAACGTTAGGGCTACTATTGTAATAAACTATCCTAACTTCCTACGGACAGCGCGATACGTGAACGGTTTAACTTGAGTCAAACTGCAGTCGTAAGTTATGCAGCTTCGTCACTTGTGCACTCTGTTACCCGCTAATGGGGGCACCACCTCGGGGAGGGTTCACGATGGCAAGATTACAGCTATTTGCTATTCGCCGAATAACCGCAAGCTGGCAGTGTGTGGCATGGACCGAGTCGTGCGACTCTTTGACGACCAAGGGGATCCCGTTGACAAATTTTCCACGAAGCCGGCAGATAAGGGTCCCAAAACATATGTTGTGAGGGCCATGCACTTCTCTCCAGACTCTTCCAAGCTAGCCATTGCCCAGAGCGATAACATCGTTTTTGTGTACAAACTTGGATTAGAATGGGGGGATAAAAAATCTATCTGTAACAAGTTTTTGCAAGCTTCTCCAATTACTGGATTAACATGGCCTTCAAGCAGGCCAAATGAGCTCGTGTCACACCCCGCGCCTTGGACAACACTTGGCAATGGAATCCTCATTCCAAATTTAAATTTCAAATAGCTCTGTGATCACCTGTCCGACAGGTACGGACTTGCAGAAGGCAAGGTCAAAGTTGGCCAGCTTCGTACCAATAAACCGGCAACTTTGTACACTACAGATTCATATGTGTGCGCGGTGGCAAGTTCGACTGATGGGCACGGAGTTTGTTCATCACATATTGATGGCTCAATCCACCGATTCTTCTTTCACCAGGCCTGTATACGCGTCTGATTTCCGTTTCCCTTGCCCGATCTGACGCAGTATCTCCAATGCAGGCTGGAGGTGGTCTTGTCAATACAAAAATAGCTCATCATTCGCCCTCTTTCCGTGTCATGTCAGTGACCGACCGATTTATTTAACAAAATTCTTCTAGGTGTGTACCGTATGCACTTGCCTGGGGGCACTCGATCGTCGTTGGTGGGAACGACGGCACAGTGGTGTTTTACGACGATCAGGGGGGGATCGAAAAAAGGTTTGATTACTCAGACTCGCCTCGTGGCGGTGATGCCGAGCCCAATCCGAAGGGTAGCTGTTTCTGTGGTGAGTTTACAATTGCCGCATTTAATCCCACTGGCGAGACCGTGGTGCTTGGCAATTGGAATTCATTTTACACCTACACATACAAGCAACGACAAGATTTGTGGGAGGAGATAGGACCCAAGGTGATCGAGAATCTCTACGCGGTAACATCAGTAGCTTGGAAAAACGATGGCACTCGACTAGCCATTGGATCTCTGTTTGGTTCTCTTGATCTTTATGATGCTTGTGTGCGGCGATATCGTTACAAGGGTAAGTTTGAGTTCACATATTCCTCGCTTTCTCAAGTGATTGTCAAGCGTCTTGAAACGGGCACTCGCATTGTGCTCAAATCTCTTTATGGATGTGAGATAACTAAGATCAATATCTTTCAAGACCGCTACGTGGTTGCAAACACTACGGATCACGGCACGTCGACTGAAACTTTGCTACTCGGTGATCTAGCCACCTACAAACTCTCCGAAATATCTTGGTCAAATGGAGGAAACGAAAAATTTGTGTTTGATAATCCAGTCTGCTGTATTGTGTATCATGCTGGGGAATTGGCTCTCGTCGAGTATGGTTGCAATGAAGCACTTGGAACTGTGCGCACCGACCACATCTCGGGTCACCTTCTTTCAGTGAGAATAAATGAACGCCCTAACCCAACGGATGGCAATCCGCCTTTGGATGACGAGCGTGAACGATCAAGCTGGCCGGATAATAAGAAAATTGCATACTTGCTGGATGCACAGACTATCAATATCAAAGATCTTGTGACTGGGAGTTCAACGACAGTGTCCCAAGACTCCAAAATTGACTGGCTTGAGTTGAATGGGCGGGCTTCCTTGCTCCTTTTCAGAGACCGGCGTCGTCAGCTACACTTATATGATATTGAAACACAAACACGGACCACGCTCTTAAACTACTGCACCTATGTCCAGTGGGTTCCCGACTCTGACGTGGTTGTTGCGCAAAACCGCAACAACTTGTGTGTATGGTATAATATTCATACTCCTGACCAAGTTACTGTTCACCAGATCAAGGGCGATGTTGAAGACATAGAGCGCATCAACGGTCGTACAGAGGTAATAGTTGACGAACAACTTTCAACGGCATCCTACTTGCTCGACGAGGCTCTCATCCAATTTGGTACCGCTATTGATGATCGTGCCTATGAGCGTGCTGCAGACATTCTTGAGTTATTGGAGCTCTCACCAGAGGCTGAAGGCATGTGGAAAAAACTCGAGGAAATGGCACTTTTGGGTGGGAATTTACTCATTGCGGAGCGTTGTGCAGCCGCTCTGGGGAACGTTGGCCGCGCTCGATATTTGCACAAGCTCAATAAACTCATCATCGAAAGTGCTATGGGGCCAGACTACTTCCTGGTGCGAGCAAGGCATGCCTTGCTTCGAAAAGATGCAAAGGAAGCGGAGACTATTCTGTTAGTTCAAGGGAAAACTGACGAAGCTATCCAAATGCATCAGCAGCTGCACAACTTTGATCGTGCCGTGGCAATTGCAGAAGAGCGATCGCACCCAGATGCTAATTCAATGCGGCAGGATCATTTCCAATACCTTCTAGATTCAAATCAGGCGGCAAAGGCCGCGCAACTAAAGGAAATGGAAGGCGATTTCCTCCAGGCTATCGAATTGTACCTAAGAGGCGGAATGCCCGGGCGTGCTGCACGGCTCGTCAAGCAGCATGGTATTAACAATCCACCATCCATCTTGGAACGTGTTTCAGCATCTCTCACGGCTGGTGGGCTGCATGAACAGGCGGGCGAGTTTTATGAACGTATGGACCAGCTACAGCGTGCCATGGACGCATACTTGAAGGGTGCCTCATTTCGCAAAGCTGTGGAGCTTGCGCGGAAACATTTCCCGGGGCGAGTCGTTGAGCTACAAGAATTATGGGGCGATTATCTTTTTGAGCATAATCAAGTTGAGATGGCTATCAATCATTACATCGAAGCATCCATGTCCTCTAAAGCAATCGATGCTGCGCTTAGTGCCCGGCAATGGACGAAAGCAGCGCAGATGTTAGAGAACGTCGACTTGGATATAGCTCAGCCCTATCTTCGCCGCCTAGCTCGCCACTACGAAGATTCTAACGACACGAGCGAAGCTGAGCGATTTTATGTGGCAGCTGGTGCACCAGATAAGGCCGTTGAAATGTACACTCGAGCAAATTTGTGGGATCGGGCCCACAAAATAGCTTCGTCCTACATGGAACCTCGGGAGGTCAGTTTGTTGTACATATCGCATGCGCAAAAGCTTGAGGCAGAAGGCAACCTGAAAGATGCTGAACAGCTCTATCTGACAGTCGATGAGCCAGATTTAGCCATAAATATGTATAAAAAGCAACGAAAATACGATGCGATGGTGCAACTTGTTGAAAAGCATCGACGAGAGCTCCTAAAAGAGACCCATCAGTATCTTGCGCAGCATCTGGAGTCAGAGGGAAGTTTACGCGATGCTGAGCACCACTACTGTGAAGCTGGTGAGTGGCTTTCGGCAGTGAACATGTATCGGACGAATGACATGTGGGAAGAGGCTATGCGAATTGCCAAGCTCCATGGTGGTCAAAGCGCGTAGCTTATGCGTGGGCACTTTCGCTGGGTGGTGATGCGGGGGCCAAATTGCTTACTAAACAGGGTCTGATTGAGCCGGCCATTGACTATGCAATAGAGTCGGGAGCATTTGATCATGCATTTGAGCTAGCTCGCTCCGCGTGTCCAGGGAAATTGCCTGACGTTCATTTGAAACATGCGCTTTACCTTGAGGACGAAGAGCGCTACAAGGAGGCAGAAGCAGAATTCATCCAGGCAAACAAACCGCGTGAAGCAATAGATATGTACATACATCAACAAGCATGGGCTGAAGCACTTGCGGTCGCTAACAAGTATGATCCATCAGCCTCGCCAGATGTCTATGTGTCTCACGCGCGCGCTGAAGCTGACGCGGGCCAACACCAACACGCAGAAGAGTTATTCATGCTGGCGGCAAAGCCCGAACTTGCCCTTTCGATGTACCGCGATGCAGGTATGTGGACAGAGGCCCTGGCTCTTGCGCAGCGCCACTTACCCCATCAGCTTGCCGAAGTTTCCCTGGCTTACTCACAAGCCGAAGCGCAGCGTGGCACTGGAGGTACTAAGGTAGACTTTTTGAGCGCTGGGCAACAATGGGAACAGCAAAAACAGTGGGGCCGCGCTATTGAGGCCTACTTGAATGCCCGTCCGGGACTCCTTGAAGATCCGAAAGAGTTGGAGGAAATATGGGAGTGCGCCATCGATGTTGCACGCCGGCATATGTCACCAGAAAAGCTTCGTGATATTGTGACTAATGTGACGCTGAAGCTAAGGGAGATTGGTCGACATGAGGCAGCGTCCGAATTGCTGCGTGAATTGAACGACATAGATGGTGCGGTAAGGTGTGCGATGGAAGGGCGGTGCTGGGCAAAGGCCCGTGAACTGGCCATAGGTTCTAGCACGTTGGAGGCGGAAGTCGATGCTGCTTATCAATCTGCATTGCGATCGGCCGAAGACACCGATGGACTACTTGAGCTTGGGCACAGGACGGCAGCTCTAGATGTTCTCGCGGATCGCAAGGAGTGGGATCGACTATGGCAGATGGCAGATCGAGAACAAATCCACTTCTCCGTCCGTGCAAAGTATGCTGGATTGCAAGCTGCACAAATCGTCGCTTCCAAGGGCGATTTAATTCAGGCCGTGCGGACTCTCAAGCAACACGGGGCCCCACCGCCCGGACCCAACATTCAGATGTATCGTGACCTAGTCATGGCCGTGTTGGGCCAAAATCACGCAAACCCTCCGGAGCAGGATGCCCATATAAACTCAGTATCAGAGCTTCGAGATATTCTTTTTAGCCTTGGTTCTTCTCATCAAGGGACACAGCACGATGCGCTTGGTATCTCAGGCGCAAATGGCTTCGAGCAGCTACTCATGACTACCCATTTTTATAATTTATATCTTATCTGCACAAAGCATGGATTGAAAGACATAGCACTAAAAGTATCCATTACATTAATTCGATACTCAGGATTGATTCCAATCGATAAAGCATTTCATCAAGCTGGAATCATGGCACGGGACCAAGGACATGATAATTTAGCCTTTGTGCTCTTGAATCGTTACATAGATCTCACCGAAGCCATCGAAGAGGGCAGTATCGACAACATCGATAATGCTGACTTCGCAGATGCAACCAATGTGCCTTTCCCGTTTGAGTTGCCTCTACAGCAGTATCTTCCCCGAGAAGACGATCGCGAAGAGATAAGGGATTGGGTGTTGTCTATATGCGTGGATAAAGCTGTCGATCAGCAGTTACCTGCAAAGCAGCAAGCAGCGGGAACTGTACATGCTGGACTTTATGCCTCTGATCTGCCCACGTGTATTGTCACTGGATATCCAGTTCAAAAGTGGGAGTTGTTGAATGTCAATAACTCAATCGCCAATAAGGTCGGTGGCTTTGCACGATTTTTGCTTTCCGTAGCATATATGCATAGGTCGATTGGAATCAGTATGTGCGGAAAGTGAAGAAATGTCCGTGGACTAAAAAAGACCAGGGCCCTCTCTACTAGCACGAATTATGAAGGGGATAATGAAGCCTGTATTAACAGGGGATAATGGTGATCAAGCGGCGAATATCTCGAATATCTTGGCATGTGAAGACCACCCGGGCCCGTTCACGGTCGGACCCCCTGAGCCCCTGGGATTGATTCCTAGATGGCCCTGGTGGGGGTGTATATATGTGCGTTCGGTTCCGCTGGGCTCAGCGGACGTCCTGGGGTCGCGTCCGCGCAAAGGGGACCAGGTGGCGCCGGAGTGCGCCCGTTTACGTGCCGATTTCGGGCGTTCGGGGCTCGGGCCCGAAAGCGCGTTTCGGGCGCTTTCGGCGCTTCGGCTGCTCTTCCTGGCGGCTGGTTGTGCTCCCGTGGGCCGTTCGGGGTCCGTGGGTTTCCGGGTCGTTGCGCTTTGCCATTGGGCTTGCGCGGGGGGGGGGGCTCTTGGGGGGCGGCACGGGGGGCTCCTAGAATGAAAATAATGCTTTACCAATTTCAACCAAAGTTACATAGCGCAAACGAGCGAAGCGAGTGAGGAGGAGCGTCAGCGACCCCGAGGAGCGTAGCGACGAGGGAAAATAGGTACAATCACTCAGGGCGTCGTTTTAAGTAGCGTCAGCGGAGTAAAACGACCCCTGGGTGATTGTACCTTTTTTTTGCCGCAGCCCCCTGCCTCTGCCGCGCTATCCATGGTCGCAGATGATCCGGTGCCTAGGGACCTGGAATCATTATTCGTGATTGAACTTACGCCAGAGTCGTAAGACAGCAGCTTCATGGTGGAAGCAAGCTTATCATGGTGATCTACAGTGCTGTAGCATAATCTGGTTTGTACTATCTCGCTATCCAGGTCGGTGCAGGCCTTGCCCGGGCTTGGTATCGCCAGTGGGAGGCCTGTTCGCTGAGGCCTGTTCGCAAGACACACCCGTTGGAATGTTGTAACTATCGAAGACACGAGTGGGCGTCTCTTGGGAGGCAGGGTCGCTAACGGCGAGAGAGAACGGTCCTGAATGTAGCAGGGCAGATACTCCTGGCGGGATTCTTCGCCGAGCTGAAGTCCCATTGGTGCATGTCTGCCCAGTGACACTGTAATGCAGCATATGAAGACATTGCGCACAGCACAGCATAGTACCTTCGGCAGACTCTGTCTCGTAGGTGCGGGCTGCGGACGCCTATAGCAATTATTTTCAAGAATGCACACATGTGCTTTGACGACTGCCTCACATTGACGATGCAGACCTCACAGCGAAGAGCTGCTACCCTAGGCTCATAGATGAAACACGCCGAGATGTTCGACTGGAGCACGAGGCGGCCACTTGCAACCTGCGGGATACAAAGATCAGGACTTGCCAACATGGGTGGGTTCTGTTGCGCACTGCCAACAGACTATTGATTCGTGTCTACAAAGGTCATGAATACTGAGGCCAGTTCCGAGCGGATCGACGAGGCGGGTTGAATTGTTCTGTATGACACGCTGTCTCGTTAATTCTTCATCCAATTTTCCGCGCGCCGCACCTGCATTGCAGTCGATGCCACACACACAAAAAGTCGTTCTTCTTTCGGCCAGATCAGCAGCTTGAATAATCGGACACAAGTTTGATACAAGCGCTGTGCGGGCACATGAGACCATTGTGAAGACTAGGTCAGTGTTAAGCGGCCAAGCTAGTTCACTACAGTCAATCGAGTTGATTCTGTCTTCGGAATGAGACCGAGAGTACTTCTTGGTTCTGGCTAGTGAAAGCCATTCGCTTCGATGAGGTGGATACAGGGTGACTAACTGAGCCCCCCGCACCCAGAGTGCCCGTCTAGTGCGCATTTGAATACCTGCACCAAAAGACGGAACCCATTCAACTCCAGCAATAGTCCCCTTGCACTGAAAAGTTTCCAGATTCAGGCAGATGTCGTGTTCGACATCTGTAAGATTGCAAAGTCATGCGGTCAATGGAATTGCGCTCACCAGCTTCTAAAAGTGGCTCACAGAGGTCCGAGACTCTATAAATTCGACCGAAATCATAAAATTCGAGCGAGTACGCAAGCGCGTCTCGTGATGTCTCGAGGACGAGTTTCAAAGTAGCGGGGACGACTGCGGTAGACGCTTTGTCACGATACCGAAGCATGATCGCCATTTGGCACCGACTTTTACCGAATACTGTGTTAAAATTTTATGTGAACCAACCAACTAGTACGGGACGAGTAAGATACAAAGCGCTATAGTGGTGCTGGATGTCGTGGCACTGGTGGTGGATGTTGTAGCACTGGTGCTGGATGTTGTAGCACTGGTGCTGGATGTTGTGGTAGCTGTAGCTGTCCCTGCGGCTGTCGTAGGAGTCCATGCTGGACAAGAGGACCAAGTGCCTGCTGTACTAGTAGCTGCTGCTGTAGAAGTGCTTCCTGCCCCTGTAGTTGTGCTATATGACTAACCATTGACTGGGCCATCTTCTTGAAGTGGCAACCCTCTATCACAGACTTTGACCCGGATGCCCGCTCCGTCGTAACCCTCCCGTATTTGGGATATCCTTTGAAGCTGGGGGCTTGAAGGGCATTTTGAGGAAGCTTGCCAGTGAAATGCAAGTTGACAAGGTAAGCGGCGGCGTTGCAGTTTGCCCTAGAGACTTCATTTTGCTATTTTGAGGGATCTTGAAGGGCAATTTACTAGGGCGAGGCAGTGGGGGGAATTTAAATCGCAAAATCGTAAGGGGTTTGGGGTATTTCGGGTCCGCAGAAGGCTTCTGGAGGGCTTCTGGAGGGCTTCTGGCACGTGGTATGGGGCGGGTCGCGCCCCCTAAGGCGTGGGCGGCGCGTCAGAGGTCCCCCGCGAGGCGTGAGCGGCGGTGTTGATGTCCCTTTTGAAGGGCAAGCGGCGGTGTTGAGGTCCCTGTTGAAGTGCAAGGTTTGAGGTTGAAGTCCAAGTTGAAGCGGCGTTTAGCATATCCCGCCGGCGGGATATGTTACCCCGACAGATAGAAAGGGAGCACCTGGCATTAGGCACTGGAGCGCGGCCAGGGAGGCGACTAAGTCACGAACTCAGGTCCGTTTGCAAGGTCCGCGGAAGTCCGTTGGATTTTCCCAGGGCGGGTTCGGGCGCCTAGGCTCTCCCAGGAGCCCTGGTATGTCGGAGCTTGGACTTCAAATCGCCGTTGTTCCATCGTGTCCCAGATCCGGGTGGCAATTTGGAGTTTATACCGCGGAGTTTATGCTGCGCAGGACTTAATACTACTAGCGAACTGCGGATTGACCATATGGGGACGAGCTGTTCTATCAAATTGATATGTGTTATCTTCAATCATCACCAATCATCGTCATCATCACCAAAATCGCTATTCAGTATTGCATCAGCTTCATCATTGACATTCAACTCAGGCACAATTTCAGACGTGTCCGAAATACCAGAGTCATTGACACCTGGACTGGAATCATTCGAGAGAGTCTGATTTCCTAAATCACTTGAAACCGGGTCAAAATTGTCATCCACGCCTGTAGAGATATCAACCTTTGCTCCCTCTTCATCTCCATTTGTTGCATCCTGAGTCCCACCAGGTTGCTCGTCCATAGCACCATCAGAGAATTGCTGTTTCATAAGGGCAATGAGATCCAAATCAAGATCATCCTTGGCGGTGGTGAACTCAGACGCAAGAACAGTTTTATGCCGGTTCAATTTGAACACTCTCTCGACCTTTAAAGCCCATTCAAGATCTGGGAATAAGTTTGGGTACTCTTCCGGGTCAGCAAGCCCTGCCGCGGCTCGGTCAGAGACCTGCTTTAAATCTTCGCGCCAAATTTTGACAGCACGCGAAATCTGGGAAGGAAGATAAGTACGAGCTAGAAAAGCAGCTTCAGGAATTCGATCTGTGTCAAGAAGAAGCTCGAAGCATTTTTCAATCTCGCCGAGTACAAAGAAGGAAACAAACGCTATATTGAATTTACCTTGTGCGACTGCATTCCCGGCAAGAGTTTGCACTCCTGCACGATCTCCGACTGCAGTATACAGCATGAGCAGCCCGGCAAGGTCTCTGGCATTACTAGCGCAACGCTCTGCGAGGGATAGATCACATTTGGCGAGGGCGAGGTCACCAAGACGCTTCCACTTGGTCATTGAGTCTGTAGTATCCTTGTCGTGCGCCGGCATAGCGTCAAGCAGCACTGTCGCTTCATCAAGCTTACCAAGCTCAAGCGCGAGGTCAAACTTATGGTCTTGATCTCTGGAAACTTCAAGTGCAACATCTTTATAACCCTGCGCTTCAAGGAAGCGTGCGACTGACGAATGCTCAGTCTCTGGTATTGCTGGCAGGATCGTGTTGGCTGTTTCGAAGTCCTGCCGAACCACAGCGGTTTGATACTGTAAAACAGCCAGCAGTGCTCGATAACAGAAAACGTTTCTTGAGCGATCCATGAGATACACTTTGTCCTCCCTTGGCAAGTAGCCAATCATGAAGAGTGGCCCTGTACTTTGTTGATCAAGGTGACACAAAGTCATGGTGTTACCACCGACAAAATAATTCAATCGGCCCGCGCCATTGGAGAAGATGAAGCAATCTCCTACCCATTGGCCCTTGACAATCCTATCAGATATCTCATGCTCTGGTTCAAACCTACACTCAAGGAGGGGGAGGTGGTGGTGCAATCATTCGTAGCCCACACGCTGAGCACTCGCGCCCCAGGTACACCCAGTTCTGGAGATACCGAATCTTCGCTGATGGATCTGTCAACGAGGTCTTTGTCATGTTTAAGCACGAATGCCTGTTCATCACATACAAGAAGTACAAGCTCTTGAGTCTCATTCCAATAGACGGCCTATGAGCACTATATATCAGCAAATACGATTCAATTCCCCAAAAGATTATGTGAAACATGTCAAACCAAAATTCGCATGTCATCCAATTCAGTCAAGAATCAACCCACCCAAGGGCAAACACAGATATATTATTGCGCTGCGCTTGCAGAGGGCTCCACATCGACTTTGCATAGAAACGCGCCCTCGCCCCAATCAAAAAAACAGATGCAATCAGGACCTCTTACAGCAATACACGCTCCGCCAAATAACCCTTCAGACGAGGAAATCGGTGCCTTGATCGTTCGGTGCTCTTTAAAGTTCTTGAAAATCTTCACCCTTGACAAAGATTCACGAATGGCAAAGTCTCCAGTTCCAACCTGCAAATGTGTCAACGAGCCAAAGCACGTAATCCGCTGTTGGAACAGACACAGTGCCACAGACAGCAGACCATGCAAAATCAAGTGCTTGTCCAAACGCTTTGTTCCTTAGAGCCTGGGACGTGTATATTATGTATTCACCATCGCCACAAACGACCAAAAAGCGCCCATTGCAGTTGTGTTGCACTGTTTGCGGAAATATCTCGCACGAGCCCATGTCTTTTGTTGCCAGATTGAGCTTCTCACCTAGAGCAAGGTTGCTATGCACTGTATCTCTGCTTTCAATTGAATCAATGTTTGACCATCGATGGAATCTAATGCCAAGCCCTTGAGCGAAGCAGACTGAATGTCATTATTGTGTGCCCAAACTAGCTTGCCCGTATGTCTGCACAGACAGAATCTTGGTTTCCAAGTTTTGTCTCCACGGAGGCGCGGGAACGACGTGTCAAGGGAAGCAACAGGGGCGTCGTGGCCAAGCTTGATGAGGATGGTCCCCTCGTCATAGCCAATGGCGAGCCCGTTTGATTCCTTTGCGGCAGCAATCGACCACGCACGCTCAAGTCCATAATTCAGAGTAGTTTCGGCACGGTATGTTGTTGCATGCCAAATCCGCACGGTCCCATCCTCCGATGCAGAGACTAGTACAGGTAGTCGAGGGTGGAAAAGCACAGAACAAACATTATTGGAATGTCCTTCCAGTGTTTGGATACCTAACAAGGATGTTCACCCACCGCAGTTTCTCCTTTGAAAGTATGCAGTGTATTACAAGCCTTGGTCTGGTAGTCCCATATTTTAACAGTTTTATCATCAGCACCGGAGAGTATATAAGGCTTGTCACCTAAGAGGTGAGGCTATGAACGAGTGAGTCTATTAGCAGCTTCCTACCGCCAGGGTAGTAATCAATACAATTGACGCCCCTCTCGTGACCTTCAAGAGAAAAATGAGGTTGCTGCGCTGCCAAACCCCATACCTAAAAAGATGTCATGAACATAATCAAGAGATCACGTAAAGCAAAGGTTGAAAGAATCACGCGATTTGTTTGTCTGGATCTAACACCTTGATCGTTCGGTCGAGTGAAGCCGAAGCAAACGTGTTCGTGTCTTTAAGGTTAAACTTACACATCATAACATAATGGGCATGACCTTCAAAGGTCAATGTGCAGTCCCAATTATTGTCCCAATCCCAAAGCTTCATCGACATATCATCTGATGAAGACAAGATGTAAGGCATAGTTGGATGGATCTCTACAAAGCGAATGTAATCTGCGTGGGCCTCCATATCTTTGATCTTTTCCATGGTGTTATAATTATAAATCCGCAATCGCATGTCATCTATGCCCCATACAAATGCCAATGAGTGATACACTCTCTGGAGTGCGCACCAGATGCGCAAATAAATTGAGAGCGACGCGCAATAAATTTACAAGAACGAACGGGCAGTTCACAAATCTCCCACGACTTGATGAGTGAGCAAGTTTCGGTGTCCCAAAGAAAAATGTTCCCAGAATACCTGAACCTCGCAATTTCTTTGAGCAAGTACATACGCACGCCGACGAACAACAGTGCCGAGAGGACCCATGGCTCGGTCGGATGCAAGTCTACACACTTCACGCGGTCCGACCTACCGCCAGCCTTCGAGCGTCGGTGCATGAACTTGCAGCATCCTTACCGTGCAGAGAGCCGCTTTTTAATCTCCAACCTATTGCAGGATGATATTTTAGAGAGGCTGAATAGACGCACCGAAGTGGCATGTCGACAGGCAAACTCTGCGACAGCGAGTTGTGTCGATATGGATTTACGCTGACCGTCACGCTAAAAAATTGCATTTACCGCAGCCACCAGCGGCGCGCCTTGCCAAGAAGGCCTCCAAGACGCTGCCAACGAGAGCCGTCTGCGGGTGAATTCCGCACGCGCGAACCCATTTGCTCGGAAGCAAATCAACAGGGATATTCACCAAGTCACCCACGACCGCGGGGCATGCCAGAGTGCATGCCAGAAGGGCTGACGGCGGCGGCGGCGGCGGCGGCGGCGGCGGCGGCGACCGACCAACCGAGAGCCCCTCTGAAGGAAATTGATAGGGGCGATGATATACGACTCCCGATGCTGCGAGAAACCGGGGCCCTGCGCAGAAGTGGCGAAGCACGATAAGTACGCCAGGCTAGACTCCAAACGGCACCAGAGCGACCCCGAGCCGGCGCAGGCCGCTCCATCAGGGCCGTAGGGACCGGGGGGGGGCTAACAGGAACGCAGAGCGTCGGGGAACTCGGATGGCTCCTGCGGCGCGGTCACGCACTCGGGCCACGGTGCGCAGCGCCCGGCCTCGTTGTCCGCGGAGTCGGGGTCGTATCTCTCTGTCGACCTCTCCCAGCATCGGAGATCTTATTTCATCCGTGAGATCACTCGTTGGAACAAAAAAAGTGACCCCGTGCCGCGTCCGCGCCGTCCGCGCCGTCCGCGCCGTCCGCGCCGTCCGCGCCGTCCGCGCCGTCCGCGCCGTCCGCGCCGTCCGCGCCGTCCGCGCCGTCCGCGCCGCTTCGCGGAAGGGAGATTCGAAGCCGCGACCCCCTCGCGTCCAGCGGGGATCCAGCGG